TGTTCAGTTATGCACTCAATACTTGGTCGGGAATCCTTTTGCATGAATGACTGCTTCAATGCGGCGTGGCATGGAGGCAATCAGCCTGTGGCACTGCTGAGGTGTTATGGAGGCCCAGGATGCTTCGATAGCGGCCTTAAGCTCATCCAGAGTGTTGGGTCTTGTGTCTCTCAACTTCCTCTTCACAATATCCCACAGGTTCTCTATGGGGTTCAGGTCAGGAGAGTTGGCAGGCCAATTGAGCACAGTAATACCATGGTCAGTAAACCATTTACCAGTGGTTTTGGCACTGTGAGCAGGTGCCTGTTCGTGCTGAAAAATGAAATCATCTCCATAAAGCTTTTCAGCAGATGGAAGCATGAAGTGCTCCAAAATCTCCTGATAGCTAGCTGCATTGACCCTGCGCTTGATAAAACACAGTGGACCAACACCAGCAGATGACATGACACCCCAGTGACTGTGGAAACTTGACACTGGACCTCAAGCAATGTGCATTCTGTGTCTCCTCTCTTCCTCCAGACTCTGGGACCTTGATTTCCAAAGCAAATGCAAAATTTACTGTAATCAGAGAACATAACTTTGGACCACTCAGCAGCAGTCCCAGGCGAGATGCTTCTGACGCAGTCTCTTGTTCAAAAGTGGCTTGACCTGGGGAATGCGGCACCTGTAGCCCATTTCCTGCACACGCCTGTGCACAGTGGCTCTGGATGTTTCTACAACAGACTCAGTCCACTGCTTCCGCAGGTCCCCCAAGGTCTGGAATCGGCCCTTCTCCACCATCCTCCTCAGGGTCCGGTCACCTCTACTCGTTGTGCAGCGTTTTCTGCCACACTTTTCCCTTCCCACAGACTTCCCACTGAGGTGCCTTGATACAGCACTCTGGGAACAGCCTATTCGTTCAGCAATTTCTTTCTGTGTCTTACCCTCTTGCTTGAGGGTGTCAATGATGGCCTTCTGGACAGCAGTCAGGTCGGCAGTCTTACCCATGATTGCACTTTTGAGTAAAGAACAAGGCTGGGAGTTTTTAAAAGCCTCAGGAATCTTTTGCAGGTGTTTAGAGTTACGTCGTTGATTCAGATGGTTAGGTTAATAGCTTGTTTAGAGAAACTTTTCATGATATGCTAATTTTTTGAGACAGGCATTTTGGGTTTTCATGAGCTGTATGCCATAATCATCAGTATTAAAACAATTAAAGACCTGAAATATTTCAGTTGGTGTGCAATGAATCTGAAATATAAGAAAGTTTCATTTTTATCATTACATTATGGAAAATAATTACCTTTATCACAATATGCTAATTTTTTGAGAAGGACCTGTATATAAGTTTGTTTTGCATAGTTCCGCTAACATGTACAACACATTAAGCTAACGTGTTATACATTGTCACAAGAGCCAGTTTACAGAATGTCTTATATTCCTATTAGAAATATATGTTTTGTAAAGCATGCTAACTATGCTACTATAAGAAAAAAGTCTTCTAGATTATTTTTCATAAAGAAAATTTATTTTCCAATTCTCCCTTTTCCCTTTGATTACTTAAACGTCTTGATGTGGCCCTTTGGAAAAAAATGTTGCCCACCCCTGCCTTAGAGAGATCAAAAATGACAACTTCTGTTTTTGTTGTCAAGTGTTCCAGGTTAGGAATTCAAGATTTTTTTTATTGTCATTCACATTGCATGTGGTACATGAGGTGTACTGGGTTGTAACATCCCAGTTACATCCAACAATAGCATAAAGTGTAAAAAGTAGCAGTAAATAAGGATCTAAGATATAAGAGAGATCTCTCTCTTATAATTGGCATACTTAATGCGAACGGAGTCTACCCCAAAACTAACATAAACTGGGATTATTCAAAGCATGCAACAAAAATACAGAAACAAGGTGCCAAAAGTGAAAAAGAAATAAATCTGCAGCAGCATGGTTCTGATGACAGTGAGATTATCTTAGCAACATGGTCCAGTTTGCAGCATGATACTGTTAGCAGTGAGGTTGTCTTTAGTTATCTTTCGAACTCATCTGCTCATGGACTTATGTTCATGCTGCTGTTGTACAGCCTATTGTTTTTGTACTATTAGTGATTAGTGTATTCTTAGTTTAGCATATCTTAGTTCATATCTTATTACTGTTTTTCTTTACAATTTATACATTTGTTGGATGTAACTGGGACCCTGTGTACAGTTTCATTCCACCACATGTACCACATGTGATGAGCATGACAATAAAGAACCTTGACTTTTGACTTAAGCAACATGGTCCAGTTAGCAGTGTGGTTCGGTTAGCGGCGTGGTCTTGTTAGCAGCGCTAGCATATATCTTGTTAGCAGGTCCGTCAGCAGCATGATGAAAACAAGGACTGCAACAAAAACTGCCCTCCAGAACCGGGTCTGGCAGACGGAAAACATCCAAGGTTTCCGTGCGGAACTGAACGGGTCAACAGGTTACAGGAGCGGAGTAAGAGAAGGCCTGTTTGCCTTGTTCAGTCTGCACTGAGGGGACATTGCAGGTAATACTGTCCTGAGAGCACACACTGCAGCTGCACTGATGAAGTGACACGTAGGAGGAGATGTATGAAGGCAGCAGGCCAAGAAGGGATTTCTTCATCATCATCACTTTTATTGTTCCCTTAGGGAAATTTTCCTTACAGCAAGGTGGCAAGAAAATTAAAACACAATACTGTCACACCACAAAATATGCAAAGAGTAAAAAAAAAAAAAAAAAAACCCTCCATGTACAAATACAAATATCAATAAAACAGGCTGAACGACAAAATCAAGCCCAATTACATTTAAAATTTATCTGAATAATGTCCTGGCTGATAAGAATTTCTCCATCTATTTGTTCTTGATTTGGGCTGCCTGAATCTTTTCCCTGATGGAAGGAGCTCAAATGTGCGATAGAGAGGGTGATTTAGAGAGTGGATAATGTGTTCTGCCTTATAGTACTCTCTTGAAAATAGTGTCTTTTAAATCAGGTAATCTAACTCCTATAATTTTGCCTGCTACTTTTACAATTTGCTGCATCCTGTTCTTGTCTCCTCTTGATAGACTGCCAAACCAGGTGATAAAAGCAAAAGTGAATACAGATCAAACCAGAGTTGTAGAAAATGATCATGAACTTTTTACACTTATTACACTTTTTACAACGTATTCATTTTGCAGAGAAAGTGAAGTTTTTGATGAGCTTTTTGGTAAACTTATCTGTATTTTCACTGAATGTCAGCTTCTTGTCAATAACAACTCCCAGATATTTATAGGATGAAACAAACAAACAAAAAAAAATTATAGGATGAAACACTCTCCACAGGTTCATCTTTATGAGAACTGAAGGTGCTGGACTGGACTTTTCTAAAATCTATACGCATATCTTTGTTTTTGGAGACATTTAATTTCAAATGTGAATTATCACACCATGTAATAAAATCCTCCACTACCTGATCAGGTGAGTCAAACTCTTCCTGTAACAGGCTGACAATAACAGCGTCATCTGCAAATTTCAGGATGTGTCTGTTCGTGTTCATGTACTAAAGTTCATGCATTAAAGATGAAAATGTACGAGTGTGAGAGCCTGTGTGAAGTTAATGTAGCCTTTTACTGATAAGAATGAGTTTGTATGTTTATTTTTACAATACAGTGGTATGCAACGTTTAAAAATGTAATTCTTAATGTGAAAATATAATACAACATGATCCTGCGGTTTTTCTGTGGCTGTCGTTAGAACCAGGACACCAGGAGGCGCTCAACTCTTCAACGGTTTCTCCAGCTCCACTTCCGGGTCACATTGATCAACATGGCGGCACCCATGGTGTGTTGTCATGTATGGCGGCTTGTGTCCCGTAGTTTCCTGAGACGAGCACGTATTCGCCTCGCACTCGACTCTAAGCTTCACTGCTGCTCTCCCGCGCGCAGCAGCCTCTTGTTGTCTCTGCACAAACGCGGCATTCTGAAGGACTCGTTCCCAGAACACGCAGCGCAGGACCAGCTCCCCCGGCTGCTCCAGGCCGGCTCTCAGACTGTATACTGCGGCTTTGACCCCACAGCCGACAGTCTCCATGTGGGCAACCTCCTCGCACTCATTGGCCTGCTGCACTTTCGAAGCGCCGGCCATCATGTCATCGCTTTACTCGGAGGAGCGACGGCACAAATCGGAGACCCGAGCGGGAAGGCGAGCGAGCGGGAGCGGATGTCCGCCGAGGTCGTGGCGGCCAACACCCACAGCATTCGGGAAAGCATTCAGAGGATTTTCACCAACCACGAAGTGTATTTTCACGAGAGCTCCAAGACGCTGGGCAGCGTCACTGTCCTGAACAACCTGAGCTGGTATAAAAACTGCAGCGTCGTGGACTTCTTGTCGGAGGCCGGGAGGCACTTCCGGATGGGCACCATGCTGAGCCGCCACAGCGTGCAGGCCCGGCTGAAGAGCACAGACGGGATGAGCCTGGCCGAGTTCACCTACCAGATGTTCCAAGCTTACGACTTCCACCACCTGAACCAAGTCTACGGCTGCAGGGTTCAGCTCGGAGGCACCGACCAGCTGGGCAATCTGATGTCTGGACACGAGTACATTCACAAGTATGTCCAGGAAACCATCATGTGTTCATATTCAGTACTGGACAGAGTCCAGGTGACCCACACACAAGGATGTCAGATTTCCAGGTTTTTCTAAGAAGTTTTTTTTTTTTTTTTTGGAGTCAAGCCACATTTATTTATATAGCACATTTAAAACAGTAACTGTTATCAAAGTGCTTACCAAAAAAGATCACAGCATCAAATATTAATAACAACATATTACAGCAACGTGAATAAAAGCATAAAAACAAATATAATGAGAAACGATGAAATACTAAATCAAATCACCCTGCGTTAAATGTCAGGGAGTAAAACAAAATGAACACAATCATCAACAACGAAATACCAAATGAGATCAGACAGTGTTAAATGCCAATGAGTACAGATGTGTCAGTGAGTACAGATGTATTTTGAGGAGAGATTTAAAAATAGAGACTGAGGTGGCCTGTCAAATGTTGATGGGCAGATTATTCCAGAGTTTAGGGCCCATGACTGAACACGCCCAATCTCCTCTGAGCTTCAGCTGGTTTTTGGTATGGCCAAAAGCAGCTGGTCTGATGATCTCAAGGCCCAAGAAGGAGCATAAGGATGAAGTAGGTCAGAGAGGTATGAGGGTGCAAGGCCATTAACACACTTAAATAGCAGAAGAGTCTTAAAATCAACTCTGACACGCACAGGAAGCCAGTGAAGGGAGGACAGAACTGGAGTAATGTGCTCAAACCTGTGAGTTCCTGTTAGTAGCCGAGCTGCAGCATTTTGGACAAACTGGAGACGTGAGAGAGAGACCTGACTGACCCCAGCATAAAGCGTTACAGTAGTCCAGCCGGGTTGTAATAAATGCATGGACTAATTTTTCAAGGTCGGATCTGGACAGCACGGACTTGAGCTTAGCTATCTGCCTTAGCTGATAGAAGCTTTTTTGAAGAACAGAATTTATCTGCTTATTAAACTTAAAGTCCAAGTCTCAAACTTTCCCGAGCTTGGTAACAGACTGTTTTAGATATGGCTGAAGGGAGTCCAGGTTTGCAGGATCAGTGGCAGAGCTAGGGTTAAACACAATGACCTCAGTCTTCTGATCATTAAGGGGCTGTTTATACAGCGCGTATTTTGAGTGTATCCGCAGGTTTCTCTCTGCGGTTCTGCTGATCATTTACACGACACCAGTGACCCCCCTTTTTGAATCTGGAGGTTTCTGAATCCACCTTCCAGAGTGGAGGTTTTTCGCTGACCCCCAGCTGATAATGTAAACATCTCCCGCTGAGGCTTTGTGTTAAACCACATGCGCACACGCACGCGCGGACAGATGCTATATTTCTATCAACATGGCGGCGGATACACTGCCTTCAGAACCTCGACTGATGGAATATATTTTAATCTCGTAGTTAATTTACGTCAGATTCAGGTGCTGTGACCGACATCTGTGTTGGAAGAGACACAATCTGATCCAGTTCTAATGTCGCTGTTTATAGAACGAGGCACGCGCACACGTCACGCTGCACTATAACATAAACGTGCTAAATAACAAGTTTAATAATAATAAACAATATTTATGTTAGTGTGAAATATAATGAAGCTCTGAGCTAAATGAAGCTATCTGGACATTATGTAATTCAAATTTAAAATTATGATAAACATAAAGCGTGAACACTGAAGTTGAAAATGAAGACATCAGGTTTAATTTTTATTTATTTATTCAACACCACAAACTGTATGTCACACAAACAATGACAATTAAACTGAACACACTATTAAAACACGTTACCTGAACTTGAATGGATTGAATAAAACAACTGAGGGGAATTTTAAATAAATAGTTCATCAACATCTCTCTTCGACGTCCTCCTGCAGTTCATCTGGGCCTCGTTCAGAACTGGTCCGCCTGGTGGAAGGACAGCTTCTTCTTCTTTCAGGAAAAAATAAAAACTTGGTTGTTTTGTTACCGAAGTAAACACAAGCTAGCATTATTAAGAACGTTGATTTACCTGCTGTAAAACAGCTACTGATTATCACGGAGTAAAGTCCGACATAGTCGACTCGGTTCTGGTCCACTCAGCGACCGGTGTGGAGCTGTTAGACGAAGCGGTCCCGCTTGGCGTCAAATCTGTCGACTCTCATCCAAAATCCAGCCAGAATCCAGCTTTAACTTGTTGTTACGTTACGTTGTTGTTAGCTGGTTAGCCCAGAGGAAAACAACGTGCCGAGGCAGCATGCATGCGCATTAGGTGAAGGTACAAAATTCACAGCGCCATCTAATGACCTGGCATGGTAACTACAGCGGAATCGGGAGGGCGGGGGGGAATCCTCCGGATGCATGTAAACCCAAAATGCGACCGTGTCAACGCAAATCTTTTCCTCTAATTAACATACGAAAAAACCTACATTTCCCCCCATTGTGTCCGTGTAAATAGGGCCTAAAACTCAAAAAGTTTGCAGCCATCCAAGTCTTGATGTCATCATGACATTTTAACAAAGGGCGAATGGAGGAGGAACTGTTAGGTGTTAACGGCAGATAAATCTGAGAGTCATCAGCATAACAATGAAAGGAAAGACCATGTTTCCTCAAGATAGACCCTAAGGGGAGGAGATACAAAGAAAACAGAAGGGTTCCAAGAATAGAGCCTTGCGGGACCCCGCAGGAAAGAGGCACTGAAGTAGATAGTGTTAGCAAAATTAACACAGAAACTCCTTGTCGCTCAGGTATGAATGGAACCATTTTAACGCTGCACCAGTAATCCCAACCCAGTGTTCTAGCCGGGATAAAAGGATACTGTGGTCCACAGTATCAAATGCAGTGGTAAGGTCAAGGAGTACCAGGACTACAGACTGACCAGAATCATTTGCCAGAAGAATGTCGTTGCAGACCCTAACTAAGGCTGTTTCTGTGCTGTGTAGTTTCTTAAAGTCAGACTGAAAGATCTCAAGAATAGAATTTCGACTCAAGAACTTGTTTAATTGAGTGAAAACTATTTTCTCCAGGATCTTAGAAAGAAAGGGAAGTTTGGAGATAGGTCTGAAGTTTGAGCAGGTTGAAGGGTCAAGTCCGGGTTTTTTTATTAAATGAGTTACCACTGCATGTTTAAAAGCATCAGGAACTACACCTGTAGCCATTCTGCTGTTTATGATGTCAAGAACAGAGAGTCCAATGGAGGGTAGGACCTGTTTAAAAAACGATGCAGGGATGAGGTCAGCAAGGGAACCTGAGGGTTTCATATGACCAATGACGTCATTTAGAAATGAGAGGGAAATGGGTTCAAACTGGTTAAAGACTGATGTGGAGGGGACAAAGACAGAGGGGTCAGCTGTGGTGTGAGGAATCAGTGACCTGATCGACTCAATCTTTTTAACAAAGAAACTGGCAAAGTCATCACACGTAACTGCAGAGACCTCCATGTCGGCAGACTGAGGCACAGTTAAAATGGCGTTAATGGTATTGAAAAGAACGCGGGGATTGTGGCTGTTTGAGGTGATGATTTGGGAGAAATATTTTTTTTTTTTTCTGATTTAACAGTGGCCTGGTACTCTTTGTCACATGATTTTAGCATGATAAAAGAAACGTGAAGTTTGTCCTTCTTCCATTTACGTTTGGCTTTCCTGCATTGATGTTTGGCTGTGCGAGTGATCTCATTCATCCAAGGGTGTGGAGTGCACTTTGATGCCAAATTTTTAATGGTGCAACTAGGTCAAGCACCTTAGCACAGGTCTCTTGGTGTACAGTGATTAGCTCATGAGTGTTCATGGAAGAGGATTCACAGACTGAGAGAGAGTTTTTAGTAAAAGCAGATGAAAAGAGCGCAGCAGTGGAAGGGTTAAATATTTGACCAGGCCTGGCTGGAGGGGGAGGGGTTTGAACTTGTTGACAAAAGAAGTGTTGAAAGAAATGGGTTTGTAGTCAGAGAAAACTGCATCCCCAATTTCTAACTCAGAAACAGATAAACCATAGGTTAACACTAAATCCAGTGTGTGGCCATGCTGGTGAGTTGGTCCTGCAACATTCTGTACAAAGTTCAGAGACTGGATCAGATCTAGAAAGTCCTGAGTCAACGGCTTTTCAGGGCACCAGACATGTATATTGAAATCTCCCAGAATCAAAACCCGATCATATCTGAGAAGAATCCAAGTTAAAAAGTCAGAGAGTTCAGCCATGAAGTCCTTATTATATTTGGGTGGCCTGTATAACACAGCAGAAAAAACAGGATTTGAACGGCCCACCTCAAAACACAGCAGTTCGAAGCTAAAAATTAGCTGGTATCTGTACCAGTTTGCAGTTCCATCGTTTTTTGAAAATAGTTAATAATCCACCACCTTTGCCTGATGTTCTCGGAGCATTAAAATAAGAACAGTCCGGTGGTAAAATTTCCGACAGGGCCATGAACTCACCACAGGAGAACCACCAACTGCACCACCGTGCCCCTACTTTAGCCATTTATGTAGCAAAACATTCAGCTCATTCAGGAGATGGGTGCTGCAACTTTTTTAGTTTAAAATTGAGAGCTCTTTTGTATCTTCAGAAACATTTTTGAGTCTTTTTACCTTTTAAGAAGATTGTTTTTGTTTGTGCCATTTTACTCTGATATAATTATTAAGAAATTAAAATGTCCCTGTGTTGGGTTGACACGTAAACATTGCTAAGAACTAAATTTAAATACGTGATTTAGCAGCTTTCTGTCACAAATATGTCATTTATTGCCATTTCGGTTGAGTCTATGAAAAATAACAAAGAACTCAGTTTGACAGAAAATAATGAGCCAAGTGAGAACTTCTCATCATCAAGTGAAGAATGGTTCAGCTCTCAGGTCTCTTTGCTGGTTTAAACAAACTGTGATTTTCTGATTAGTTTTATGTGCAGTTCATGTTTTATTTTAAGCCTAACACATATTTTGTCCTCCACTTGACCAGTTGTTTTGCACCCCTGCACGTTATGTTTTCATGGTCAGGTGCAAACATAAGTAAACAAACATAAGTAAACAAACATAAGTAAAGCAGCAAAAATAGAAATAATTTTTAAAAGACCTTCAGAACATCTGAAAAACTAGTAACCAAAACCACTTTAAAAGATAACAAGAAAGTCTGGCTTATTAAAAGATTTAGTTATATAAAACGTGCACAATTCTGTGTCCCTGACATGCTCTTCTAATAACTGTTTGGGTTTTTAGGAGTCACTTTATAGATTTTTTTTACTTAGCAGATAGCTTATCTTCTGAACAGGTCTCTTGTAAATGAATCCTCGTGGCTCAATGACACTAACCTGTAGAAATAAAGTTGAAGGAATTTTCAGGTAATGAGCACAGATTTGAACTGTCTGACTAATTTTAAGTTTTAGCCCATTTCACAAGCAAATAACACAATAAAACAATAATTTTGCCTGTTGGGGTCTCTCTTCAGTCCATCATAACTAATACACAAACGTTTTGAATCTGCTTGTATCAACCCAGCTTTATCAACTATACCACTCCAACCAGCCTTTAATACAGACGTGCTTTTCTTCGGTTTGGCTTCTGTCTTGATGTGCAGGTTCTCTGTCTGTGATTTTATAAAGCAGCCCTGTAACACAGAGGTCCTTGTTTATTTTCAGAGTGAGCGGTGAGGAGGTGTATGGCCTCACCATGCCGCTGGTGACCAGCTCTGTCGGGGACAAGCTGGGAAAAACTGCAGGCAACGCAGTGTGGCTGAACAGGGATAAGACGGCTCCATTTGAACTGTACCAGTTCTTCTTCAGGCAGCCTGATGCCAGTGTGGAGGGGTAGGTGGAGGTGACAGCTCATCACTTCTGCTTATGGGATTAAAAATCCAGATTTTAAACTAATTTTGTGAAGGATTTGATCATGCACACTGTAAGAAGCTGATGTCTGCACATTTTGCAGGTACCTGAAGTTGTTTACGTTTCTACCTGCGGCTGAGGTGGACAAACTCATGGAGCAGCAGAGAGTGGACCCCAGCAAACGGCTCGCACAAAAACGACTGGCTGCAGAAGTGACCAAACTGGTGCATGGAAAGGAAGGGCTTGAGAGCGCTAAGAGGTCAGAATGGAACTGTGTGCGTGCGTGTGCATGTTTGTGTGCGTGCACTCTGTTTTTGTGTAGCAAAACTGAAACACTTTGAGCTCGTACATAAAGCAGGAACTAACTCAGCTGATTGGGGAAACAGCAGGAACGTTTGGCACTGCAGAACTTCATTTGCAGTGAATGAATGAATCGGAGGTCGACAACGCTTTCTGTTTGTCTGAGACAACCTGTTTTTGTCTCGAACAACCAGATCTCACCTCAAGGTTGTCCTGTGGACAACTGAATGAAAGTTCTCCATCGCTGCGACAGATTTCATCATAAATAAAACTGAAAGAGACGTGTTTTGTTGTGGCCTTGTTAAATCCATCCAGTCTAAAAATGATACATGAATTGAACTGACACTGCTTTCAACAAATACTGTATTTTCTGCTGTACACGTCGCACCGTCCTATAAGTCACATCAGTCCAAATATGTCTAATAAAGTGGAAAAATCCATAAATATGTTGCGTCACCATATAAGTCGCATCTATTAAGCGTCACCACTGACAACCCGGAAATGTGGGCTGGTGTTGTGCCAAAAATCGATTTGGCAGCCGCATGAGTGTGTACGGGAGGACTTTAACAAGATTACCACTTAAAAACAATTATTTGTTTGCTCAAAATTATAGTAAAGGTGTGTCTCAGTCTAATGTTTGCTTAATAAATGTACTTTAATGGTCAAATCCGCCGCATTTCAAAACCCGATTCGCGGAAGCGGCAGTCACGCAGAGAGATGAGCCTCTGCATTTCTTAGAAATTTAACAAGATAAGCACCTAAAAACAATTATTTGTTTGCTCGAAATTGTAGTAAAGGTGTGTCTTAGTCTAACTTTTCCTTAATAAAAAAATGCACTTTGACATTCAAATCAGCTGTATTTCAAAATCCAATACGCGTAAGCGTGCACGTGCAGAGGGGCGAGACGCTGTTCATTTCTTGAAAATTTAACAAGATAAGCACCTAAAAACAACGACTTGTTTGCTTGACATTATAGTAAAGGTGTGTCTCAGTCTTTTTTTTTTTTTTTGTATTTGATGGCCTCCCTTCTCCCCTTACAGCCATCCTCTCCACACCATTATTATGAAATATTTATTCTAGCGATTATCTAGTGTAGTTTTTTTTTTTTTTTTTTGTAATAGGATAGAAAGAAAGAAAAGACAAAGTAAGACTCCAAAATATAAGAAATATACACAAAGAGAGCACACGGCAAAACACCTGGCCACTGTCTGTTCACCTGCAAAGAACATGACAAAACACAGCAACAAAATACATATGTATAAAGAACTTAAAATATTCATGGCTTTGCAGTAAGTTTCCATAAATATATATACCCATACCTACACCTATATACATATATACATACACATGAATATACATTCATATACATATCTATATATCTACATATAAAGCCTACATAAGCATCCCTGCATCTATTTGTATGTGGTTGTGAGCATGCATAAGTGTATAAGGCTTCTCTAATAGAACATTTAATAGTAACTGTGAAGCAGCAGAGACCCAACCCCCAAGACCAGAGGAAGACGAAAAAGGGGGGACCAGAGCCCAAGACCCCAGGAGGGACCCCGACCGCGGAGCCCCCAGGGCCACCCACACAGGACGAACCACTCAACCACCCCCCAGATCGGACCACAGGGGAGAACCGGAAGATCCCCACCAGCGACCACATACAGTGACCCCCCCGGGGCCAACAGCGACAAACTCATAGGCCCCCGCCGGAACCCGCCGCACAGATGCAGGTCCAGGCCCGGGCACCGAGGCCCGGGCACCGAGGCCCGGGCACCGAGGACTCACACCACCCAGGCCAAGGCCTGACAGGGCCAGAGGACCCGAGCCCCACCAGGCAGACACCAGGCCGAGCCGACACACGCCCAAGCGCCCAGCCCCCGACACCAAGGGCCCACCCCACCAGGGGGCCGCGCGATAGGGGCGCGATGCCAAGCACCCCCAGTTGTATCAAAGAGGGGGCAGTCCGAGTCTCGGCCTAACAAATACCCATTCATACACAGACACAATCACACAGTCCCAGCCTCATTCTCACACTCACTCACTCAAAGACATACAATAACAATACATTTCATTCTTATTCCCGATACGCACTCTATACCCCCCAGGTCCAAGATATGTACCCGCCCTCTACAGGGGGCAGCCCATGCCCAAACCCAGGAGGTAGATCCATTCATTCTCGAGCGGAGAGGAGCCAATATCCCAGACCTGGCCCAGGCCACGCCCAGCCGACAGGACACCCCCCGGCACGAAGAGGTCACGCCACCGACCACCCCCAAACACCGCCAACAACCAAGCACGCGCCCCCAGCCGACCGCCCGCCAGCCGCCCCGCCAGCCACCCCGGCCAGCAGGCCAACCATGGCACCCTAGAGCCAAGCTCAGGGGGTCCTAACAACCCCAGTGTTTTGCTTTCTGATTAGCAAAGGTGACCACTGGAAGTAGCGATAAGCACCTTTGCTTGCAGCCTCTCCTCCAAGGGGTCCGGAAGCTAACCTCAGCGCCGTGGTATTACCTGCAGCTGTCTAAAGTAGCCTCATTAAGGCTGCGACGAGGTGATTCATCCAGAAAATTAACGACCTTCTATCCATGAGTCACACCCTAATCTCACTCTGTTACCTAGAACCTCCAAGCAGCAGGGATGGGTCATCTGGTCCAGAGAAACTCACGTTGTGGCCGCTCACCTCTCAATGTAGCGTTGCAATTGTTAACTGTTCTGGTAATCTTTAGGGCCCTGGATGATGGGCCCAAGGGTGTTTGTCACTCATTGGCTAGTAAACCTTTCAAAACCTCCCATTTTTATGTTGTTAAGTGAACCAAGCATTGCCATGTATTTGTTCAATAAGGGTGAAATAATAGTCCAGATTTATACGTTTTGCTTTGCTTTAATCAACAATTTGCGCAGGGGTACAGCAACAGGCACAATTTTATGATTAATTTTCATGATTACACAGGATACACTTTCTTCACTAAAATAAGGTAATGGATTCCTCTTGATGACTTCTAATCCCCAAGAGCCCTTGGGGATTTTGTGAACACTACCTTCACTCAGACCTTTCACACATCAAGCCAAAAGAGGTTTTCTCTCAACTCCCTCATGAACCAGAAACACCTCCGAGCAAAACCCACTAGTACCCAGTTTAATACTCTTGAATTTATCCTGTATGCTAAATTTCTAATCTGATGAATTAATTTATTTAGACCAGAAGGACAGGGCAGTCCGCTTACCATGATTCTAAGGTGACCCTCAGGGAATCTTTGTGATGGCAAGTGGCATATTTCCCGCCTCCCAGGAGGGAAGTACGGGCCAACCCAAACCAGAAGCAGCTTATGCCAAATTGAAGAAATCAGAGCTTTGGATGAGCCCTGGCCAAGCTTTTTAGAAGTAGGACACTTCTTCAGTCTGCAGTTGCAAGTGGAGACTTAAATCCAATCCCATTTCAGTGAGAAGAGAAGTAAATCCCAGCCTTGTCTCAAACCGATAAAATCCAACTTCTTTCGGGCGTCTCTGATCCTCTGACTGCTTCCTGCTTGTAGTTCCTTCTGCTCGACTCTTCGACTCAGCTTTGACCAAGTTTCATCAGTTCAGCCTGTATTTAAAGACTTCTTTTCCCCTCCTCCTCTTAAGGAGGGGTTAGGGGCCTTTCCTGGAAAATGATATCATCTTTTTTCCAGTAACTGACTTTTGTTTTGCACTTCAACCGGTTCTAACCGGTTCTTTGGGTTTTTCCCCAAAGTTGTTTTCGCTCTGCTTCTGGTACTTTCCAGAACTTGTTATTCACTTTGTGTTTCCTGTTTTGCTCAGAAGTGCGTCACCACGAGATGAGTTGAGTTGAACCTCATGACCTTCTGTTTTGTTACCATGGCTTCTTCAATTACACATGCTTTTCTCTAATAGTTCAAAATAACTCATGCAAAACTTTTACAAAGGTTATACATTGATCACTATTCTCAGCTTGTTTTTCATACATTCATAGCTGGCCTCTGCTCTCTTTCCTTTGCTCAAGGCAAGTACAGACTTGTCTTAGACAGGCATGTCCAGACTTGTCTATAGTTACATCAGGCCTCGGATCTTGCTCTTTTCACTTCAACACTTTTCAAGTAAATCACACAATTATACAATGGATTATACAATTCTTATAAATCAATACATATCATTAGTTGATTACTTGTTGATTATTGGTAAACACTTTTGATTACACATTTTTATATTTAGCTTGATTTAAAGCAGAAGTTCAGTCCTTCTGTTTTCAGCTGCTGAGGAGAACTTGATCAGGCTTCACCTTTATTAAAGCTGGTTGTCTGCTACATCATCACTTGACACCAGGTTTATCGACACCAGGGAGAGCACAGCGCCAGCACCGCCCATGGCAATCCCCCAGACCCCGAACCCCCACATAGTCCTGGTCAACACCTGACGGCCTGCCCTTATCCCGGACCCCACCCCAGGAATGGCAGTTGGGGAACTAGGGGGGTGAGAAAAAAAAAAAGACCCTGACACATACACCCCCGCCCCTAGATGTGCTGTTGATGTGTGTTGTTGTATAGTGCCATTAAAAAGGAAAGAAGAAGGAGCAAAGGCGGGCATGATGCCAGTTTCCCCTCCACCCCAACTCTATCCAAACCCTAGTGTCTAAATGCAACCGTTGTAAGTGAGCACAGGCACATGGGGCGAGAGTAAAGTCATACCACCACCCATAGCCATGTGCCCACCTCAAGTTCCAAGAGCGTCCGCCCAAATGCCGACAGAGCCAGGAAGCACCGGGAGCGAGCCCCCACCACAGGAAAGGGGCCAGCCAGTCGGCCATGCACAGTCCCAGGCCGCCCCCAAGGACATCCACCCAGTCCCCACCCCAGAAGAAATACTACACCCACCCCTCATAAAGGTGTGTCTCAGTCTAACATTTGATTAATAAAAGGACTTTTAATGGTCAAATCAGCTGTATTTCAAAAGTAT